GGTTCATAAGCGCTGTATCTCCTCGATTGACCGCCTATTCATTTACAGGCCCACTGCGACAGTTCTGGTTTTACGTGGATGTCTAACCCCTGGTACTCACATCCTGGCAGGCACATCTTCCGGGAAAGTCCGTCTTATGTCGGATTCATCTGGTGCACCTGTTAAGGTCGCGTATCCTGGAATGGCGGTCACCGTGTCTGGGTGGCGGTCACTTCCGGGCGCAGGTGATGAAGTTGTGCAGGGTAGCGAAGGCGACGTAAAGAAAGCTCTTGCAAATAGGGTTAGGAAAAAGGAAGTGGAAACCGTTTTGATTGACGCGGAGGCAATTAATATTGCGCGCGCTGCAGAACGCGAAAGAGTCCGGAAGGAAGAGGATAAGAGTCAAGATATGAGGAATATATTAGATGGCGGCCCTAAAGAGCTCCGGTTGGTCATTAAAGGTGATGTGAGCGGGAGTGTTGAGGCTGTTGTGGGCGCGCTGGAAGGAATCGGAAATAAAAAGGCGCGTGTCAAGGTTGTATCCACAGGGGTAGGGGATGTAATGGAGAGTGATGTGATGATGGCCAAGGCCGCTGAAGGTAAGGACCCCAAGTTGTGGTGATTTTTGTGAGGCTGAGATGCTGATACTGCGCACATAGGTATAATTGTTGCCTTCTCGGTCAACATTCCGCGTTCAGTGGAGACTACTGCGGCACAGAACCACGTCCCAATTTACTCGTCCAAAATCATCTATCGGATCATGGACGAGGTCCGAGACCGCGTCACCGCATTGCTGCCTTGCACCTATGAGACCAAAGTTACCGGCGAGGCGACTGTTTTACAACTTTTCGATATCCACATAAAAGGGAAAACTACCAAGAAGATTGCAGGTTGCAGAGTCAGTAATGGCACCATCGAGAAGTCAAAAGGGGCTCGAGTTGTTCGCAATGGCCAAGTAATCCATGAGGGTTTCCTCGATGCGCTTAAGCAGCACAAGAAGGATATGCCGGAGGTAAAAAAAGGTACTGAATGCGGGATCAGCTTGCAGGACTATGAGGATTTGCGCGACGGCGACTTGATACAGATGTATCAGACGATCGAAATACCTGGCGTATTATGATCCGGGATATTTCAAGTTCAAACTATCACTATGGTATTTTTATCCTTACACTAGAAATTTAGACTAGAGTTTTCGCGTATTACCCTCGATCTTCTAATTGACTCTATTTGTGTTTTGCTCATCAAGCACTAAGTCTTTGCCCCCAATGGTGCCTGTTCGGCCACCTACACCGAAAGTCAAGCTGATGTTACCAAGATCACGAGTTGTCTTTTCGAGTAAAGTCCAACTCCTGGTATCAAGTTTCTTGAGGACCACTTCAACCTTCGTATTATAGAATTTGTACGAAGACCCATCGGGATCCACTGGACCGAAAAGAACGATTGTACGGCGGAAGCGCTTGGATCCAGGGAGATAGAGGTCGAAGTGAATCTGATTGTCCTCTATCGTGACGGTGCTCTTTTCCTTGTTCACCTGTTTGGCAAACACAGAAATATGGACCTCCTTTGGTGTCTGATAATGGTCGACACGGCAGTCAGTGAACTGCTCCGCCTAAAATGACACATTCAATCCAGTCCCTCGACTGATAAGGTGGCAGCGAGAACAAACCTGAGGTTCCATACGCAACTTAGGCGCAAATACGTGACGCCCCTTTTTACATCCCTCAATCTTGAGGAACTCATCAAACTCCAAGACACGTCGTTTACAACATATATAACCCTGTGGGAGGGGTTTTAGTTTCTCGTCGGTGCGGTGTCCACGTGACTGACTTTGCTTCCTTCATGAAAGATGGGCTGAAGTCTTGAGTCAGCCGACGGGCGAGCCCACCATTAACACCATCAACGTACAGCAGCTGGGTGATATGTGCAGATAGTTTTATCGCCATCTCCGATTCGATTCACCTCATCACTGACAAAAGCAACACCACAGCTTTTGCGTTTACAAAAGGTGCCAGGAGTTACGGGCACGTCGAGATCATCTTCATCTTCAACAACAGGAGCTTCCACAGGTGGGTGAACGGATGGCTTAGGCGACACAATCTTCGGTGCACCGGTCGAATAAACCTCCGCTCCGTCTTTTGCCTCCTTCATGATTAGACCGGAGTTGACTGACGATGTCTTTATAGAAGGGACAGGGACTTCTGGGGCTTCGTCTGTATGTGACGAGACCGTACATCCCTACCGATAAAATTGTCAACCCACACTGTGCTGCGATGACTGAAGACCCGCGGAGGACTTACAGGTATTTTCATGAACTCGTCAAAGTCCAAGACAGGCTTATTCACATCGGAGCAACAAGACCACGATTTCAGGCCTTCGTGGAAGACCTAAAGGCTGAACTCAACTGCGGTGATTCGACGTTAAGATGTTACAGCGGCTCACAGGTGCTCCAGGATGGTACGTGCAGCTGGACGGATCATTAGTAGCTAAATCGTAATTCTGGCCGCAACCTTTTCGTGTACAATGCGGCATTGCGAGTCGAATATGAGTTGCTTGCAATCAAAGTACTCAGGATGTACACGTTCAACGCCGGTATCAACTTCGTACTGTTCAAAGTTCATTCTGCTATCTAATTTGCTTACATAATCGATCGCCGTGCTTATTCTAGTGATTTCTAGTGATTCTATCATTGACCACTAGAGAGAAAATGGTATACCCAAAGAACACCACTCTAAGATGTCTTGTCCGGCCCTGCGCAGCGCATTGCGACGTACCACGCTATTCAATTGCGCGTATTACACTTTTTCGGAAGCTACTTACCGACAAGTACATCCCAGACTTGTTCTATTATGGTGACATCCTAAGTATTATACAAATGACTCGATGAAGTGGTCTCCAGTGCAGGCCCGCTGAGCATTCATTATTCTCAGCGCCTCTTCACACCGCCGAGCAGTTCTAACCCCGAGTACTTAACCGTGCACGCCTAATACCCCCATGCCCTGATTGTTTCACATTGCCCTTATATATCGCTCCACACTCACGCCCTCATCAGATACGAGGCGCGAGTCAAAAGTCAAATGGACCTTTTATACAGGGAATCGACCACATTACTATGTACAATCTACATAATAGGGCACACAACCACACGTGAATAATAAACGATTTTCTTGCGGAAAAGAGTGGTTCATAAGAGGCTGCATTATAATTATGGAAGGGTCGACGGAGACCGTGCCAATCCGGTAAATAAGAGTGGACAAAATCCTTTCACGGAAGTGTGATATGGCCCTGTGAGACACCCTGTATTACCGCACCCTGCGGATCATAGCTATACGTTATAGCGGTGTCAGATATCACGACTCTGACATGAACTAAATGCTCAGCGGTCTGGATACCATTGAATGTTGATAGAACGGGTACCAATCACAAATAAGTATGTTCCTCTTCTGTGCCGTGATGACAGAATTTGCATTGGCACGAAAAGGGGGATAGGATCTATGCAGGCTCTCGATCATTGACCGTGACGAAACTGTTCACGTCATGCAGGATTCCCGGGTTTCGCACCATAGACAACAAGCCCAGTGGCTTATCGGTAAGATGCAGGAACTCTGATATGGGTAAGGCTTGGACTGATATCGCGACACACGAGAACAAACCCCTGTCATGAAAGATGAGTCATTAATTTGGGGGAATGAACAAAATTGTGGACTAAGGTAAGTTTTATACTCAGTAAGCTTATTCACAAAGAAGGTTAAATGACTCATTGTGCTGAACGTTCGGTACGCAGCAGTCAGGGGGTTGCAAAGCCTACTTCACAACCAAGTGTATGCGAGTCCTAGCCAGTGGCGAAGTTACTGAAGGGTCATATGTCAAACCATGTGATTCAGGCTCGGTTCGTGTCCACTTTTTGCACAACCTGTATGTCGTTATTAGTCTTTCGTGCAGTCCGGAGGTATCCAGAGTGTTCAGGGAGCACGTTTTGTTTCGGCGCCTCGGTCATGAAACTAGAAACCATTGACACGTGAACTTGGTCCTGCAAAGTAGCAGCTTTGCCGCCTTGGAGCAATATATCGTAACTTTTCTTGTTCCATTGGAGATTGAAGTTCCATTGTGATAATGGAAGCATTTCCTGGAGCCGAGATTCTCAGCTATAAGGATCAGGTGTCAAGCGTTCTCAGACCGTGCGGCAAGGGCCGCAAGACGCTCCGAAACTGCCATAACGCCCACGTCGTTGCCGATTAGTAGTTCATCCGGAGAGGTGTGGAAGCTCCGCAAATCGCATGGGAAAGGAAGTGCCACGACCGAGCAACAGCAGCATAGCAAATTGGCAATGGAATGCTACGCCCTGACTCGACAATCAGTGCGTGTTCACGCTCCTTAGTGGATACTTACTTACTCCTCGGGGCGCAGCAGGCAGGGCTACGGATAGACTGTTAACACTTGGTGATGCCCCTTGCGGTGAAATATATTGTATTTTTCAATGAACTCACTTTACATGTTTCAAACTTTAGTGGTGCGACTCGAACAACACACTTTCGTACCCAGCGGTCTCGGTTTGCCCCCTTTGTTAGCAACATGATGTGAAAGTGAAAATTTGCGTCCTCACGAGTGAGTATCTGAAGTTCGGATTTATTAAGATAAATTTCAGGGGAGGGACACATGCTTGAAACGCGGTTCTACGCACTCAACTAGCACAAGTTAGTACTCACTGATGCGGTGCCACAAGTTGATGCTGTACAGCCACCAGTACGAAGATCGTATGTACGTAAGACGATCGACCTTTTGAGTTGAACTTCCCTTGTCCAGAAACATCGTAGGTAGAACACTTGAGCTTATTAGCATCTATCGGTAAAATCTGCGCATGAATTCGCCTCTGCCACTGACAAATCATATCTATCTCCAGTAAGGTGCCCACTGGTTGTGAGAAATACGGTGAGAAAACGGGGTTACGTTGCACGACTATAACTTGCCTGCATGGGATAAAGTACCTGGGATACATGCTTATCCACATGCTGATCGTAGCTCTGTCAGGACAAACCCGGTCCGAAAGCCTCCCATACCAAAAAGCCCAAACCCCATGGGCCGACTCGAGCAAGCGTTCGAATGCCGGTATATATCCGACGACGAGTGATAGACGTTTCCGGGTTTTCGTTGCCCACAATCGAAGGGTCACGGAAAAAATGTATTATTCCATCCCCACGAATTTTCTGTACAATCACCAATAGCGAATGTTTCAGAGTGGGATGACCGGTCCGTTCTAGTTGAATTGTGCGCCTGGTTACGTCCCATGGTCTGCTGAGGATCTCGTATGCCAAACCCGCCGATGCCCCTCCTGCCACTAAGGTAATACCATGAATGGCTCGTGGAAAATGGCGGCCGAAGAAGTGTTCTTCTGGGTTCATTGATAAATTTTGCACAGTGCCTTGCGCTGCAGCTTTGGAAGCTAATGCCACTCTACGAGTGATTTCAAATATCATAAAGAATGCAGCAAAGCCTGAACAACAATGAAATCTCAGAAAGTGCGGGTTGTGACTCGTGGAGGCATTACCGCAAACATCTTTAGCACACCCCCAACCCCAACCATCCCATCCCCGACCAGCCATCTCAGAAACCTCCTTCATCCAATGTCTCACCTGTCTTATCTCTTTGATATTGTCTGCTCTACTGGCTGACTTTGGGGGTT